TGCTTCTCCCTCTCCCACTCCTCCTGCTTGTGTTTCCTCTCTCGCTGTCTATCTGTCAGATAAATAAATAAAATCTTTAAAAAAAAAAAAAAAAAGCGCGTAGGAAAGAATGGAAAATTCTGAGGTTGTTCAGTAAGACACGCAACCTTCCTGTTCTCCCTCCAAGACTCAGTTCCAGGTCACACTCACATTTAAGGTCTCTCCCATCTTGAAGTTGTTCCGAAGGGCCTTAGCTACCAAGGCACACAATGACCCCTCAGGCCCTCTGTGGCTGGGATGGGCACAACAGCACTGTGGGCTGTCAACATCAGCTGGGACTTTTCATCTGCTCTGCTGGCTGCTGAAACACTTCCCCAGAAGCAAAGTACAGGGCTGAGGGGGGCCTCTCACACAGCAACAGGGAGATGGGAAACGTGGTTACAACTGAGAAATGCCAACATGAAGTTTTCCGTTGACTCTTCCATGCGGACTCCCCTAACACCCCCTGGCCTGCTACCAGGGGTCTGGCAGAGCGCAGCAATCACCAACAAAGACACAGCTAGTGAGCTTTCAGACGTGCTGGGTCACACAAGCAGAGTTGAAGGCCCGGGCCCCCCGGACTGTGCTGCCACCCACGTCAAACCACTCTCAGAGGGCCCTGGGAACTTCTGAACTGTCTCAGGCTTCCTTCCTGCCATCCTTCCTATTTACTCATGTGCTCACTCACTCATCATCCTGAGTCTATGTTCCAGACACTTGGTGTGCATGCATGACTAATAATCAAGAGCAGACAAATCATGACATCATTGCATATTTTGGTTAAGTACTCCGAAGGACCTCGAACTGGGTGAAACTACTGGGGAAGGGTGAAGTGGAAAGGTCTCCTGAAGGGTGGGCTTTCGGCCAAGACCACAAAGCACGGGGAGGATTCATGCACGCAGGGTGGGGAGCAGTGCACATCAGACAGAAGGACAGAGGTGCAAAGGCTCAAGGGTGGGAGGCAGTTCTGACAGGCTCCGCAGCGGGGAGGCCAGTGGGGATGAGGCACGGCGTGTCAAGGGAAAACTGACGCTCAAGAGGCAGGTCTGGAGAGCTTGTAGTCTGGGGAGAGTGAATATTATTGTAAGTGCAATGGGAAGCTATTCAAGGGATTTAAGTGGGGAAGACATGATGTGAATTATATTAGACGATGTGTGAAAAATAGATTGAACAAGAATCAAAGTGGAAAGGGAGGGACTGTATACGGCAGAAACTGCACAAAGCCTCCCGGCAGCCCTTCTCCCCTCCTTCCTTCCTATGAGAGCTCCAGCTTTATTCTGGGAGCAACGGGCCCACTCAAAAAAGGGTATTTCCTGCTTTCCTTGTAGCTAGGCATGGACACGTGTAATAATTCCGCACAACACGACACAAACGGAAGTCTGTTGAGGATCTCTGGGCAAGTTTTGCTGTCTTGCCCTAACGGCACAAGCCTATCCTCTGCTTTTTCCCTTACGTGATTCGAGCGCGTAAAAAAACCAATGTGATGGCAGGACCAAGGGCAGTCGTTCTCGACCATCACCTAGGAAAAGCTAACAGCCTCGCGGACACCTCAGGCCTGACAGCCCTGCAGCCCTGCAGCCCTGAACCTGCGCCTATACGCATCTACAGCCGGGTTTTACAGGTATGAAGAGAAAAAAAACCTCTTTTTTTTTTTTAATTTTATTTATTTTTTTTTGAGAGAGAGAGAGAGCGCAAGTGCACAGAGGGAGAGAGAGGGAGAAGCAGGCTCCCTGCTGAGCAGGGAGCCCGATGCGGGGCTCGATCCCAGGACTCTGGGACCGTGACCTGAGCCAAAGGCAGCTGCTTAACCGACTGAGCCACCCAGGCGCCCCAAAAACCTCACTTTTTTAAGACACAGTTGGGTAGGGTTTTCTGTTACTCACAGGTGGACACCAGGCCTCACGGACGCACCAGGCCACTGCCATAGTTCAGGCAGCCTGCACTTGAATGCTGGCAGTTAAAATGAAGAAAAGTGAGTCGTTTTTGAATGCTGACACAATGGGATTTCCTGATGGCCTGAATACGGGCTTTGGAGGAGGGAGATGATGAGGATAAAAATTACTTGTAGGATTTGGGTCTGAGAATTCCTTAAAATAGGAAGGAAAAACCTAAAAAGGAATGGGTTTGAAAATTAAAAGCAAGAATTCCATTTTCGGTATTTCACAGTGGAGGTGCCAAAGAGGTATCTAGAATAGGAGTCTCCACTCCTAGGTTTCCATGAGGTGGACTTCCCTCCAAAATTCCCGGTCCTACTCCCGCCCTTCACTCTCTCCTTCCCAGGGAGGCAGCCCGCCAGCCTGCCTGCACCCCTGCTCATTTCCCCCCTGCTCCTCCCCTCACTGTGCAGCGGGGTCAAGGGCTTCAGGGCTGCCTGTGGCCAGATGCTCCCCCTGGAGGCCTCGCAGTAGAAAGCCCATTGTTACAGCAGACCTCAACCTCACGTTCCAATTCAGCCTTTATTGGTAATCAAATGCTGATGTTTGGATCCTGCCACGTGCCAGACTTCTTCATCTATCTCTCTTGTGGTTTCAAACCGAGACCAGCTCAGCCCCACATCATGTCAGGCACGTTGCATTCTCTCAGCCACAAGAGCTGGGCCTCTTTTTAACAGATGCTTCTTTCAACAGATACGGACAAAGGACACCGAATTTCTCCCCTATTCTAATGCGTGGCTGTCTTTCTACCTTCATTGTTAGGCTCAAGGGTTGAGTCTTCCCTGCCAGGTGGGACTGTGAAGTCACAGGAGTGAAAATGTTTTTAAACTGATGCTAGTGAGCAAAAGTTACCCAGTAATATCCCAGTGTTCACGCACTTGGCTTGCCATTACTTTGCAGGGACTGTATCATTAGAGTTGAGTGGCCTTTCCCTCTCTTCCTTTTCTCCATTACCAAGCCAGCCTTACCTCCCCTCCACCCACTAATCCATTCCGTGCTTCCCTCCTTTTAAAGGCGGAATCAATATTAGTGTTCTTTATCCTATCCCTAGTAACCCTAACCTCAGAACTGCTGGGTGTACACGGTCTGGGGAAGGGCCATTCCTCATGACTGGGCATCAAGGGAAAGTGGTCTGATATTGGTCTGATGAGACAGCACTTCTGTTTTTCCTATTCCTTTTCTATAAAGACAGGTGCCCAGGTTGGTCTCCTACTGGATATTTGGTCACTTACCAGAGTTCATGTTTGCGCGTTTCTTATATATTTTATGTTGCTGCAAAAAATGCTCTTCTTACAACAAAGTCATATAAAACACCTTTCCACTTGAGAGCCTGGTTTTTCATGTCCCTCTCTCTTCCGGTCCTAACAGAGAGATCCATCGTCCCTTGGGTTTACACTGATGAAAGAGGCGATCGACATTTGGCACACTGTATCATTGAAAAAATTCCTCATTCTCAGAACGAATATGTAAATCGCATATGTCACCGTCCCACGGGACACCCTGCACCTGGTACCGAATAGAGCGGGGCATTGTTACAGTGTCATTCGATGGCTTTTACAGGAACATCAGCAACCGCAATGCGTTATGCCACTGTGACGTTAACTACAGACACAGACAGAGTGCCCGGAAAAAAAATTTACGCCCTTTTTTTGAATAGAGCCCTGGGTAATTACCCTGACTATTGTTCTATGAGAAAGCCTATTTACACCCCTTCATCAATTTAGGGTCTGGACATGAAAAATCGCCAGCATTAAGCAGTTAAGGCAATTTGCTTTCGAGATGAAGAAAGGACAAAAAAATAATACTGTAGAAAAACGACTTCTGAGTTGCCCATGTTGACAGCCAAAGCTCACCTCAAATAAAGGATCCTGAGGAGGAGTTTTTCTGATGGTGCCTTCATCCTAAACAAAGCTCAAGGACAATGTGCTCGGGGTCTGCTTCCTACTGTCGGCACTAGGAGGACATGTAGGTCATGTCCTGCATGGTAAAGGGCAGCTGCCCGGCAGGTGCCCCACAGGTGCGGTGTGACCTGTGGTGGGTCCAGCAGGCACAGAAGCATCTGGCTGCCCTGCCCCAGTGGCCAGGTTTGGTGTTCTGAGGAAAAGCTACAGAAACGTTGCTCACCTTGAGAAGTAAGCTCTCAGGGCAGGGTCCATGTTCCTCCAAGTTGCCACAGGACATGAAATAGGTTATGAGGTTTGCCATTCAATATGGAGTAAAATGGGAAATTATTGAACTACTTACCCCCAAATGAAAACAAAAATTAAATGAATGCAAAAGAAAAGGCAAACTCACAACAAAAACAGATGGCCCCCAAAATTTTACTTACATTGAGTGAGGATTCCTGTTAAGGCATTTTTAAAATTCTCCTTGGCCTCTTCCATCTCCTGTTCGTGGGTGGCTTTTTCGTTCATCAGCCGGCGGACGTGGCTATTGGCTGACTGCACCATGGAATAGAACTGGTTTGCAGAACGCCGATTGACCTCCCCTCGTTCGATCCAGGAAAGGAGCACTGTGATAGCCTCTGAAAACTTGCTATCATCTGGAAATGGAAAACCACGAAGTACAAATCATGCCAAGGCAAGACAATGAACTTTACTTTGGGTTCTTCTCAAAAGACAGAACACGGACCATCTTCATGGATGCATTTTCCGAACTTGACAAATTAGCTTTCCTAAGACTAACTGCTCCAGCATTGTTTGGTTTCCCCTTCTGCCTCTGATTCCAGGGTGCCAAAGAGCCAGCCAAGAAACAAATGGTGGGTCACTCTCTCATCTCCGAACCTGGTGAGTTCAGTTTTAGATCTGTTCTGGGCATTCTTGGTAACATGGTATGCCAAACCCTGATTTCTCTTTCTTAAGACTGGCTTGAAAAACTGTTATTAACCTATCTGGTCGCCACTTCTTTATTCTTTCATCAGGTATATTATACAATGATACTAGTTTTCTGACAGAATCAGCTGAGTTAGTGTCAAAATATGGATGACATATTAAACTATTTTAAAACTGGATGTAATGGAAGATATTGTTCCCAAGGTGGTAGTAGAAATTAGTCAATTCTTTTTCTACTACAGTTCAAAACTAATTTCATCTTAGGTTTAATACAACATATTTAATTAGGCTGAAAAATAGAATATTTCCTTGTTTTCAACAAAAGAGAATTTGTTATCTGGGTGGTCAGTGTTTTCTCTGGAAGCCATCTAGAAGCCTATTGGAACCAATCTGAACTTGGTTTGAGGTATGTATGGGGGTTGGGGGGATGGAGTGGGGAATGAGGTTCCACCTGTAAATAAATGATAAGAGTTTATTTGAAAGAAAATAAATAAACTTGCCTGTTTGGGAATGGTTACTAGAACAGACCTGTGTTGCATGGCTTAAAAGTAGGGGGAAAAAAAACAAGTTTGAAGGTAATTAAGTTAATTGAACTGGAAGTTGTATGTCAATTATCACAACATTAATCGATCCTACTGCTGAAGGCTCACTGCATACTTCCCAGGCAAACTTGAGGGGAGACGTCTTCCACTTATATTTTTCTACCCTTGAAAAATGTGACTTAAGAAAAATATCCTATATTTTTCAAGAAAACTATGTAGGCTCTGAATTCTAAAAATCAGTAGCAAAATTAAACTGGAAGATTCAGATTCTTACTCATTTATTTGATAAATACTGAGTGCCTGCTATGTTCCCTCCACTGGAGGAACATCAGAAACATCCTTATGCAGTGTGTGTGTATGTGTGTGTGTGCGTATATTTTCTATATTATTATATATTTTTGTATATTATATATTATTTACACACACACACACACTCACCCAGATGACTGGACAGAGCGTGATTCATATTCGGTAAAGGAGTTTTATCTCACTCACCAGATGTTTTTTAATTAACCGCTGTTGTTGGTATGTTACACATCATACAAAACCTTCATTCTTGGGGCTCTTTGTGAACTTCATAGCGCAGGATAGAAATACCTATAGTACTTTTTCTGCCAGAGGCCCCCTCCCAGACGGGACACAACTTCTTTGCTGTGGCTGTTGCTTGCCCAGAGGTGTGTGCGCTGAATGAAGGCAGGATCAGCCTGACCCACAATGGGATGTGCTCTGCTTTCCCCAGGGTGGAAGCATCTATCAAACGCAAGCTACTGATCAGTACCCAGCCAGGCCCTCCCCCACTGCGGCAGGGGCAGTTGGAGATTGGGGATCAGAGCCTTTTTCCAGTGCAAACCTGCCCCCTCCACCCTCACACCTTCACCAGAGGAGTTAAGAGGCCCTGGGAACGCCCACGGGGCACCCCGCAAAGATGCCTTTCCTCGAAAATCTCAAAGCACAGGCTCAGAACACACGCGTGCAGTCTCACAGCTGGCTCATCCAATTTTGTTAACTCTGGAATTTCAGTCTGAGCTCAACCCTCTGTGAACTCCAGCTGCAGTGGTTTCTTATCTCATTTCATGGACCGGAGCGGCTTGTGTAAGATAAAATCCATCATACAACTTAACATTTCGTTCAGCCCATGGAGAGGCCCATAATTTAGCATTATGTTTGTGAGAGGCCCACTGTGACCGTTACAGTCAGAATAAATTTTGCCTCCTGCACGCACTCTCTACCTCTCTCCCTGCCAATATATGTTAGAAGAATGGACCTCCCAAAAGACAGCACGAATAAACCTAACACTTATAAGAAAGCTTCCCCCCTCTTAAAAAATAACAACAAAAAAGAAAACGCTGACTCCATGTACCATTTTTACCCTTTGCTGGGACTTTCATCTCTGCATAACACAGAGCAAAGAAAACCCTTCACGATTTTGTCGTTGAGCTTACTAGCAGAGAGAACAATGTTGTTCTATCTTTCCCTCCTATTACTGATTGTTTTTCCTTCTCTTGCTTGTGGTCACTGAGTTCATAAATACACTAACTTACTGTGAGGGAGAACACACTTCAATTTTAAAATGTATGTTTGCTCAAATGATCTGAAAACCAAATTTTCTTGTTCTTCACTCCTAGATGGAGAGCATAAGTTCACCAGCAGATCATAGTTATTTGATAGTTTTCAGAAAAAGAAAACAGCAGTTTTAAGATTAAGCAATTGGAAATATACAATTTATCAAGTGAGCCAGGATGAGACTTGCTCACATTTTAACAAGGGTTAAAAAATAGGTAACACAAGTGATTGTAGGCAGAATTCCATTAGCTTAAAGTAAGTATATACTTTTGAAAACTCCCAATTTCATCCTCATTTCTGAACTTTCTAAAACTGCCAGGCCAATGTATAATTGATGTACTGACATGCAAATTAAATGTGAAGACATTAGTTAAGGCTCACTGGTAAGTTTGGTCAATATCTTTTGCTATGTAAGAAGTGACTTTATATTAAGTAAGACTAACCCAGCAACTCACTCTGAATGGCTATAGGAGCGACTGGGAGTGGTCATTTTCAATATCCAACTGTAAATTCAATTTTGTATTCAGTGGGAAGATCATTGAGAAAACAGAAAACAATATAGAACTAATTTAAACAGGATTTAGATTGCAGCATTATTAAAGCTATTCACGTGAAAAGAAATTAACACTGCTCATAAAAATCACATCAGAGATGCAGTTATAAAAATTCCAAATACTTTCTGTGAACATGCTTAGGCATAACTCTGAACATGGGTGCAGTTTAGAAACTAGAATGTGCAGATGTGCTTTTTCCACAGTAAGAATTGGGAAGATCGGTGCATTAAGGAGTGACTATGAACCATTTGCTCATTAAAAATTGTGTAGTGTTTTCTAATCAGGGTCTTCGCGATGTCACACACAGGTTACTGCACATGTTTACTCTGTGGCTTTTCTTGATTTGCATTTTCCTCTTCAATCCATCCCTCCCCCACTCCCTTATAGCTCTCTCCTTTGTTAAACACCATGGCCATGCCTTTGCCTGTCTGTGCACTCATCCTAGGAAGGAGCATTCATGTTTCTGGTCCACCTGTTCTGTTTCCCTCAAGATTCAGCTTCAGTGTCTTCCATGAAGTCAGCTCTTCTGTAACCCTAACATGAATTAGGTGTCCATTTGCTATGTTTCCACAGCTCCCTACATAACCTGCTACTAAGACATTAGTCACTCTATATAGTAATTGCTCATTTATGGATGGGTCTCCAGTTTTGAAGGGCTAACATGAGAATAAAACTTCCAAAACAGATTTCAATCTTCTGGTCCCTTCGAGTTTTTCTCTTCGCAGTTTATATTTGATTACACGATTTCTAATAGGCTTGCAGTGATTAGTGCTCGAGAGCCACAAATTCAGTGGTCAGAAGTTGGGAAACATCAGATGGGAATAAACACTTCAATTTTGTGTTAAAGAGTATTTTCACAGTGTCTCTCAGAGATAAATGTTCTCCTGGCAGTTAAGCTAGCTGGTTCTTTACCTTTCAGGCCTCTGAGGTCATTACCACTGGCAACGAAAGTTAAGAATAATGTCAGATAATCACAGAGAAGCAGAACTTTCTGCAGTAAGGCACTAACTAACTAGCTTGTCAAAAGACTCAAAAAATCTTTTTGAAGGCATTTTTAATTCTGGGAAAATAATGACGAACTTTAGTTTTGTGAGGAATAAATAATATTATAATGACTATCATCCCTCAGTGTCACTACCTAAAGACATACCCATCTCATTTCATTTCTGTTTACTTCAGACTTTATCAACCTCCCTCCCTCTCTTTCATGTTTCTTGAGCACCTGGCACATAGTAGACATTTAAAAAATTGCACATGGGATAAATCTTTGCTATTCAAAGACTTAAAGCTTGAGCCTCATTTGGGAGCTCCTTGAAAATGCAGATTCACCCTTACTCAGACTTCCTGACTCAGAATCTGCATCCTACTCCAAGTGATTCATATGCACATTAAAGTTTTGGAAGCACTGGAAGAAATCGGTCAATGAAAACCAGGGAAATTGGCTGGGAGCTCATCTAAGTTAAAAGATAACAAAACCCTTAAATGGAAAGTAGCAGCTGAGATAGTGGAGAATATTGAAAGAATTTGATGTGATCCTTATGAGCTTTGCAAATCCCTGTCCCTGACCTCCCCCACACCCATTTAAGGAATAGCTGCTTTAACACCTGGCATCCCCATCCAGAAAAAAAAAATGTCCATGACTTGGAAATGGGCATAAAGACTACTGCAGATCCTTTCAGTGAAATGCTGGCCATGGCCTAGAGGACCCTCTCCATTGGCCTCCAGCCCCCAGAATTATCTGATTCTACAGGGGAGTGAATCTTTAATTGTTTTTGATCAGGCTATCTTACAACTCTTTAGGGACAGAACATAAATTGTGGAGAACTGATAACAATGCAAATAATTCTCCATAACAACGTAGATGAATTTTTGTCCAGTAGAAAATATAAATTGTTATAGAGCAAATTCTCTTTTGAACCAGTTTTTAACGTCTTACTGATTCTCTCGTTAAATGAGTTAAATAAAATCGCTGGCACATGTTCATGTTATATTTGTAAGTCATGGTTCCACTGCCAGAATATCCTTTAGCCACCCCTGAACTGCAAGCTCCTCAAAGGCCAGGCCCGGCTGCAGTCATGTCTGAAACCCCAGGGCCATGACGCAGAGCCCAGGGACTCAGCAGATGGACACGTGATGAACTTCAAACTGATTAATAGATAATAAAGGGGAAAAGGACTCAAACTGGTAAGCAGTTTTTTCTCCCCCTTTGTGTATGGAGGGAGATCTGGCCTTGATTTTCAGAACAATAGGTGGATGGGAGCCAGGCCATGAACACTCAATATGAAAACTTAGGTGGGCTGTAATACCCTTATTTATGGCTGGGTCTATAAAGGAATAACAGGAGAGGAGATTAATACTTGAATAAAATGTCTTGAGAATGAGATAAAAAGAAGATGTTCTACAACACATTTTTCCCCCCCAAAATGGGGATACACACACACATACACACACATACACAAGATGAATCATGTGGATGGTGTGTCGATCTGGCTATCACTGATTTCTGGTTTCTATGATAGCTGGGAAAAGCTTACAGGGTAGAGTCACATACTGACCCAAGCAGAATGGGATTCCAGGATGGCCAAGCATTATTCCTCCAACATCCCTAGAATTCCACTATGTGTCCCTCAACATTGGACATCCCTAAACAAGTCTCCATTTTTTGGCTCCTCAATGAACCATTAAAAGGGGTGTAACCTTATCTATCCTCCAAATCACAGGTAGCAGGAAAGGTGATACAAATGGTTAATGCACCCCTCTCCCTCCAACACACACACACACACACACACACTCTCCCCCAACTCTGTAGTACCTGCAAAAATGAAAAAAAAAAAAATTAAGGGGGTGGGTGGCAATATGAAAATGCACTGGTTATTCTTGCTTTGGGGTCAAGCAAAGTGTTTCTAGATGAAATGGCATATCTTGCCTCTGTGAAGGTCAATAACGCCTAAGGAAGTGATTCTCAAACAGGCTCCCGTGCTTCTCATTTCCCTTGCCCTGGGAAGGAAGCCTGGCTTTTAGCTAATGGAACTTCCACCTGGCTTACAGTGCTATTGATTTTTACTTTCTCGGAACCATAAATACTGACAACCGGCTCAGCAAAACGCCACTGGCACCACTGGCTCCTCCCTCTCCATCATCTGGCAGGCTGACATGGGACCATTCTGTATGCAAATCCGAGTCTAGCCCTCTGGAAATTAGGAATGCTGATCCCAGGAGAACTGAATTCATGAGGACATGCCAGGGGGATCCCAAGGGCACTGCTTCAAAGCTTTGAGAAAACTTCACCTGATGCAGAGAGAAACTCTTCATTTCATCACATAATGAAAGATTATGTGAAGCTTTTCCAAAGGGGGAAAAAGTACACAAAAACTTTTAAATGCTCTTGCCAGGAGAAATCTCCAGTGAATTAGGATATAATCTTTCTCACCGTCTAATCAATCTCTTCCTTCCACAGTCCAAACACAGGGCTCCTCCAGGGGTGGATGGTCTGTGTTAGACACGCTGAAATTCATTATCTCATCTGCCTGGTGCTACTGTTTCCAATAAAGTGTAATTATGGTGTTATTGAGCTCCTTCTCACTTTCTCAAAGCCATGCTATAAACTTTGGGCCTGTGAGCAGTTACTTCCCAGTCAGTCTTCATTAAGTGGAATTGTCTCAAAACAATGTCTATTTAATCAGCAGGGTGCCCGCTAATTTTCTTTTTTAGAATTTGTATTAACGTAACCAACACCGCCTTAAGACACTGCATAATTACAACTTGACGTCTCCTGCGCCTTCAAGAAGGCCCAGTGGCCACTGGATCTGGGGTTAGCTGATCTCAGGAGATCCGCCCCCTCACCCTGCCGCTGGTCCAGCTGGGATCCGGGTCCCTCCTGGGATAGCTCGCTGCACTTTTCACACACCACCACGGGAAGTACATGGTGCTTAGTAATTGCCTGTACCGCGCCAGAAGCCTAAACTCTGTGAGGTAGGGGCGCGTGTGCTGTTGCCCACCCCCCTCCCGCAGTGCTTCTTAGCACAGTTCCAGGTATATGGTGAAGAGCTCCACAAATATTTGCACAATGCTGGCGCATCACCCACCCCCCCACACCTCCCACCACATCTGGTGGCACCAGAGGCCAGAAATGCAACATGCTCAAAGCTCCAAATCGCTAAGGAAGGGAGAAAGGAATTAAGTATTTACTATGTGCAGAGTTTTAACACCGGGCAGCATGCAGAGGGCCTCGTGGATCATAATAAAGAGTTGGCTTGTGCAGATTTTGCTAGATAGAGCTGATTTTCAAAAAACAAACTGCAAGAATAAACAAGTACAATGTAAAATGGGGGGAAATGTTTGTAATAAACCTAAGATAGCATGATTTCTCAGGGGAGGAAAAAAAAATCAAATTCAATTAGGTATTTTCAGATCGTATTTCCATCGTCTTTCTTACTCAGGCTTCTCTACTTTGGGTTTTGACTGCATTTTTTGTTTTTTTTTTATCCCCACATCAATGAAGTCATCTTCAGGGAAGCAGTTTCCTTGGCCCCTCCAGTCTGGCTTTGCAGCGTTATAAGGAGCATGGTGTAGATTTCCTCTCTGAGGCAGCCAATTTCCTAAGCAATTAAATGCTGTTTATATTCCAAACTCTGTGCTTGGGTCGAAATTGTCAAGCTTGGTATTACCTGACTGGTTGCCTGCACTGTATCCCTAGCTAGTTCATTCTACTGTAACTGCCATCTATTAAATTTTCCAATCTGTTCTCTCAACGGATCACACAGTACTTGGCGAAGGTGCAGCTCCTAAATTCTGCAAATTATGCTCATCTATATAAATATATATTTTTGAAATGGCAAAGCTTGCAAATTACTTCACCCAATTGACATCCCAATCTATGACCCTCCCACAGCAAAGGCAACGCCATGTTCCTCTTAAGTGCACAGACATTTGTGTGCTGTTTCCTTAAAAAGAATAGGAGGACGCCAAACTTTTTGTGAAATCCCTCCAAGAAGTCACAGAACCAAGGCGCCAGTTTTTGTCACATCTAAGTGGAGCATGGAAGCCGATAATGCACAACGTGCGGGATATTAAAGAAAAAACGACTTGTTGCTAAATCAACATTCCTGGTTGAGGATGTTGCTCTTTCTCACTCTGGCCACTATTTATGATTTGTAGCCTGAATGGAAAAGGGAGATCATGCCTGTGTTTGCCTTTCGTGTGCTTTTTGTTAAAGGGACACCCATGGCCTATGTACTTACGTCTGTAAGACAGGCCCTCCCAGAGCAATGGAACACGGGCCGTTGGCAAAAAAGCCCTTGGTAGTTACAGTGGGGAGCTTTCAGCCACAAGGGCGGCAGCTGATTAGGGGCTCCCAACGCCTGAAAAGGGCACAAGGGCTAGAAGCACAAGTCCTTTTTAAAAAGAATTCTCTTTTAAAGAAACAGAATGTCAACCTCCTATCCTTCTAAAATAGGTTTTGAGCAGCTTTCACACATTTCATTTAGTGAAAACATCCAATCAGTTTACACGCTGCCAGCAATATACTAGCTATGCTCTAAAACACTCCAAGGATCAATCACATCTCTCTTCTCATCATAGATCTTTAATGACTTCTCCACTGCTTATGGAGTAAAACCCAAATCCAGGGGCAGCCTTCAGGGCCCGACCATCTGGCCCCAAAATGCTCTTCCAGCTCCACCTTGCTCTATAAACTTCCATGCCGGTCTCATGTGCGCTGGAACAGGCCCATTACCCTTCCCCTCCTGTGCCACCTTCCTCTCTGCTTCCTTGTGTCTTTTTTCCTAGGGCTCCGGCCTCTGACCTGAATGTCTTTAAGGCCCTTCTTCTCCTGGGAAGGAAAAACCTTGTTTATCCTGCACAGTTCTCCTCTGTGAAGATTTTCTCCATACCTTCATCAACACTTGCCCCCGTGTTCCCAAAGCATGTTGCTCCTACTTTGCTTGACAGTCATGCCATTGGCTTTGTACTACCTGAGACACCTGGGTGTGGCCAGCCACTCTAACCTGATGCCCCCAATGGCGCGAGGAAGGTCTGACCATCATTTGCCCCTAAATGCAGGTGCTGCTCAGATTCCGTGACTCTGCTCAATAATGGAAGAGAATTCACACATACACGTGATCCCGAGGTAGAATCTGGCCCCTCCCCAATCATCTGCAGTTCACTGGGGCAGGTACTAAAGCCTGCATATGGCTTTATCCCCCATAGCATCAAACATATGAAAGGAGCACAGCAAACTTTAAAGAAATGAAATGTACTCCTTTTTATTCCTACTTATTCTGTAGGTGTCAGCAGTGTCCCTTCAACGCCATCTCTGAAGGCAGGGATGATCCCTTTCTGCATTTCGCTTCTACCCTCCACAGACCCCAGCGCCGTTTCCCACGTGCGTGAAGGGAGGCTTTGTGAAGAGTCCAGGTAGGTGGAAACTCCAGGAGCTGGAGGCACACCAGGACCCGCCTGCCCACAGGAGACACCAGCCTCGCTCGGTCAACACAGGTGCGAAGACAAGAGCCCGCTCGGGGGCTACTGCGCATGACTCGCCTGCCCCTCTTTCCGCGAACCGTGTTGAGTGGCCGTACACGCGCGTGCTCGGAGCACAGCGGCGGAAGGGGCGGGGCTCTGTCCCGACAGCAGGAGGAAGCGCTTCCAAGCGGCTCCTGCTTCCGGGTGACCTCGCCCGCAAGCACTCAGCACGCGGAGGGACCGAGACGTCTGGGGCGTTGCGTGTGTGTGTGTGTTGGGGGAGGGGATGGTGGGGTTTCTCTGGGAGTGGGCCGTGCCTCCCGCCAGGGCGGAGACGCGTGGGCGGCTCCCTACCTTTCAGCTTGTCGGCCAGCAGCGCTGCCTCGTGCTCCGAGTAGTGCATGATGGCCGGCGGCGAGGGCGGCCGCAGCCGGTCCTCCTCCAGCTTGCGCCGGTGCCGCTCCTCGCGCGCGCGCATCCGCTGCTTGCATTCCCACTCGTAGAAGTCGTCCCTGGCCTGGGCGAAGTCCACGTGCAGGCGGCCCGAGTCCTTTTTGTCCGTGCTGGACCCTAATCGCATCCGGTAACCTGAAAGCAACAGAAAGGCCGGTGGCATCACAATGTCACCGCCAAGATGACCGCACCGTTTTGTCCGGGCCCTCAAGGCACCCTGGGGGTGGGACAAGGGGGCTTTCGCCTATTTCTTTTTTTTTTGCCCAAAGGGCACTGCATTCTTCCCATAGGAGGTGGGAAGCAATTACCCTTCTCCCCAGTGATAAGGAAGTACTGCCAAGTTCAGCTTATTACGGATTTGGGGATAAACACGCTTCTGGGAGGTGTCTTGGAGGGTCACCTACCCATCTTTCAAGCCAATGTTACTAAGAGGATGACCTCAAGAACCAGGGCACTTACCGTAACTCCTTCTTCCCTCTGGCTTCCAGGAAGCTCGGAAACAAATTTGGCATGTAGCATTTTTCCCTTCTCTGCCCTTCTATGGCCGTGGTGTTATATTTCCAATTTACAGTAACTCTATTGCGTAAAGTGTTCTTAAATTCTTTTTTGAAAAAGGCGGAGTAGGGATAAATAGAGAATATCTATGGTATTTAAAAAGACCTACAAAGTAAATTCCACAACACCTCACTCACAGGTTATTGCTTCATTCCCCTAGAAAATGCTGCTCCATTCTCTCTCAGCAGCTGCAAAAGCCACAATTACCAAGGCAATTTTGCAAGGCTGTTCTATTTCCACTTATCCTCTGGGGCACACAGGAGACTATTTTACCTTCAATCAAGAGGCCTCACCACTGCCTTCTTACAGCCCTGCAGCACCTCATCTGGCATGCGGCACTGCACAAATTGTCCACGCAATCTTTGAAGGCCAGGGGAGCTTGTGCAAGAGCACAGAGCTGGACCAAAAAAAAAAAAAAAAATGGGCCTGGAAACCTTTGGGGGATTTACTGCGAGCTACCCAACTTATAAAGATGATGTGCAGAAACCTGATCTGAGAAATCAACACAAACAGAACTGAAACCAGACAGCCAGCCTCGCTTCAAAATGAAGAAGACTTGGCTTTGAGGCTGCTCTTCAGTTTGGGGTACTCAGATTTTAAAAACATAAATTTAGGTCCCAGCAGGATCACAGCTGTTGGGGCTGCCAGAGGAGAGAGCAAAATGAGCACTTTTGCCGTGTAGGGGCTTTGCAAATGAGATACCACTGTGAAATGCTAGGCTGCACTACACTGATGTTCAAGATCTCCGTGCTAGATTTCAATGGATTATCTCGGCATTTGTGTTGAAACTCTGCTGAAAATCCCTGCAGAGGCTGACTTCTTCCCTGTAGGGCACTTCACACCTTTGAGAAGTTACAAATACAAGACAGATCTCACATCTGATTCCTGTTATGCCCTTCTCACTCCTAGGTTTAAATGATGTTCTCTAAAAATAGGAAGATACAACAATACCTATCAAAAACGCAAACATCGATCACGTATGAGCAGAATTCATGCTAAAGCAGAGCATATCTTGGTTCTGGGCCATAGAAACTTAACAAGTCAGCAGGCCACGGTGACATACACTAACAGCTGAGCAGGAAATGCCGCCTAAGGCTGCCCAGCGGCCCTAACTGGCCAAGCGTCTTTCTTCTGCTCGTGTCCAGAGCATCACTTTTCAGATATTTCTGGTTCCAAAAAGTACCCTCTCTTTCACCAAAACATCATCATTAAGGCCTTAAAAGAGATCCTGATGAGGCTGAGTCTAAAATTAGCTTGGCCTTCAACTGTGAACACAGTCCTAAAATTAGTCCTTCCAGCTGGGTATGGGCTTGTAGGAGCTAACACACAGGACGGGCAGCCTTCATTCCCTCCTGCCCCTCCAGTTAATCAGCCTTTCAGATCTTCCCTGGACTGATGTACAACCTCCCCAGGGTGGCTGATCGCTGTGCCTCCAGGCAGGGAGGCTGGAGGTGAGGCCTTTGCTGTGGGCTCCTCCTGCTGCAAAGGGGAAGACCAAGGAGCCATCAGGCACCTGGCTCAGAAGCAGGACCAGGATCCTGGTTGGAAAGAGCCTAGCGTCAAGGAATAAATACAGGAATACCTTTCCCGTGCCTAAATTTGGGCCTGTTCATCTTTGGCAATGTCTCACAGGGTTTCTGATTGTATCTAAACTTTGTGTTATGTTGGAGCTGAAAAGCACTTTTGATCTACTCTAACCCTCTCGTTTAATCAGGTGGAGTAAAGAAATAGTTTTATGGTTGAGCCGTGGTTACAATCCAGGTTCCCTGGGGCAGGTCTGTGAGAAATGAGCATCAGTCTTTCTTTACCATCTTCAGGATATTTGTATTAAAAACATCCATTTGCTGAATGGTTCCTATTGTTGCAGGTGCCCTGCTAAGCACTTAATATCCATTATTTTGATTCATTCCTCATAATAATCCTATGAGTTAGTACTGTTACTACCTCAAATTTCGCAGATGAGAAAATGGAGGCCAGAGAGAGGTTATCTTGCCTGAGGCATGTGAGACCCAATGCCACGCACTCGACAGAATCCCCAACTGTGTAACAGACTACTCTGAAGCTATGGCCCAAGAATACATGACAAGTAAAACACATAGCTATTTGTGTGTTGTAAAATAATTTTTCTATGTTTCGTCTTCCATCTCTATTTTAGAATGCTTTCAGGTCCCCCTCCCCCCTTTGTAAGGTTTTATTGGAATAAGGGCTTTAAAATTCTCCACAGCACTGCCTGGGCTCAGGAAAGTTGCAGCAGTGCTGGAATAACCCCCAGGCTTCTGGGGTTTGCAAGGGAATTCCATGGCAATAAGAGCTGCCTGCAGAAATTAAGTAAGCCTGGCAGTAGCATTCAGAGTTGTTTTTTTTTTTTTTCCTATTCTTTTCTCACCTTCCCTCATTAGCTTTGCCTCAGGAATAGGGAGGTGGTGTGCCAAGTGACAGACTGAAACATGCAGAAGGAGAGCGTAAGGGAATGGCAATGAGTTGATTCTAAGCGCACATTTCTCTAAGACCACATACCAATACCAGATCTATAGTTCTCAGATTTGGCAAAGGCCTTGAGGACAGCCTCCATGCACTTGCCCCAACACCCACAGGCAGCACTGGCTCTAATTTCAACATCTGTAAAAATCTCCCTATCAATTGGCACCCGAGAAACAGGTATCCTGGGGTAGGCTTTCCCACTCTAAATGCACTAGCAATTGGGCAGTGATATCAGGTCTTCCTTCCCCTAGGACCTACGGACTACTTTCTGCAAGGAAACTGATCTTGATTTGGTACCCTGGGGTCTACAAAGTGAAACACTCTGAAAAACTGAAATTATGCCGAGAGAGTATTTTATTCCCCCAGGGAATTACATCCAATAATAATAATGGTCCTCAGGATTCATAATATTGCTTTTTATCTAATAAGCACTTGAGAACATTAATTAGAAACTCGATGGAATTCCTGAAGACTGGTGGTGGGAAACCCTTCCTGCCGTGAAGTGCACTCACAGACTTAACATACAGTTTCTGGCAGCCAAGGGAAAAGGCAGAAGTACTCCTTTTCCATCCCCAAACTGTGAGGACTTTATTGTGCGTTAAGGCAAAAGGGAATTAAGCTCCTATTAACATCACAAAACATAACAAAAATGCCTCGAATACCCCTTATGTAATGCAAAGTACCGGAAAGGTAAATGGCTTTGTCAACCATGAATTCCTCGGCAAATCGAATGTGACAAAAATTCTTCTTGCTTTTCCGAATGGCTGTAATATCACCGCACTGCTCAAAGACTTCTTGAATAATTTCCTCCGTAGCATTTTCTGGTAATCCTCCGACAAACACGGTCTTACACCCAGGAGGTCGTTCTCTTGTGGAAGGAGGAGGAAGATCTAATAGTCACAACAGAAACAGAGGGGTGTGCCTTTTATTTCTTTGCCCTCTTCCTGGTTCACCTGGCGAAAGTGAAACTCGGAGTAACTTTCTCCACCCTGAGTCGTGATACCTGTCTACACCGACTCACATTGATGTTTTTACCTCCTCTCCCCTCCTCCTCCCAACCTTTACTTTCTGTGGTCCTTTCTACACAGGGTGGCTAAGCTTGTCCCTGAACAGAGATAAAGCCAATGTTAGCATAATTTCATTTCCCCTTAATAATACAGAAGCCCAGAAAATGGGGGGAAAAAAAACTTCACAAAGTACAAAGCATGATGAGATGACAACATGATGGAAGACTTGGGCTTGCTATCTGCTTTGTCTTGCTGCAGGATAACGGATCAGCAAGGCAGAGAACAGGACCTGTAAACATGCGTAGTACTTGCTTGGCTGGGGAAACACCGGGGCCTGAAAACGACACTTTTTTTTTATTATTCACATTTAAATGAGCCAACGATTACATTTGGGGGAGGCTGTAGGGAAAGATAAAACGTACACTGTCACAACATTTTACCTAGTTTATATGTAGATTACTAAAGCAATCTCCTGAAAAGTCCACTTCAAAAAGGCAACACTGATTAATATGAATAAAAAAAAAAATTCTAGCTATTTAAGCCCATAAACTTAGTATCTGAAACTAAATTAAAAAAAAAATTCTGGCTCATTTATTTCATCAAATGTATGTTTCCTTCAAGCAAATGCCATTTGGCCCAGAAACTCTGAGATGCGGGCTCCCCCCAAAATTGCTAACTGCCAAATTAATTCAATTTTCCATCTAGCAAAGCACATTTCAGAGTTTTTCTCCCACATTTGTGAAGACGGATGGAAATGCTCACATATTTCACACTATGTTCTGCAGCAACTGCTAGACTTCATTGCATGCAAAAAGATTCTTAATGCTGGGTATGTATCCCCACATCACATAAGCTGGCTTCACCGTGTCAATTCAGCTCCTGGATAGAACACATGGACACAGCCCCATACATCTGTGCTAATCTAGAGACAAAAGCATCATGTCAAATGGATCCCCACTTTGTGCATCCATGTGGAAGAATTCTGAGTCAGATCTGAAAGTGCATGCAATGCTACATTAAAAAAAAAGAAAGAAATTTAAATTGAGGAGCAGGTAGTTCTCACAGGTATCACTTACTTGGATTTTGAGGGAAAAGAGTACAACTTTTGCAGTGGATTATTTCTTTGACGACAGCCACTTCTGTTGGCGGTGGGGGTGGTACAAGCCCCAGGCCTGGTATCATTGGGTTAATGGGGGTGATCCCAGTCATCATGTTGAGGCCTGGATCAAAGCCTGGGACACAGATTGAGTCTGTAAAGTACACAAGATAACGTTTTGGCTGGAGGATCTTAAATCAATTTTCATTGTTATTTTTGCTGTTTTCCTGCAAAGATTATTTGACTTTACGCTTTCTATTTTTTTTTTGGTTAGGAATTTCTCCCGGCATAAGATGTAGCATCATAGAAAGCTATTCCAGAAAGATAAAGAGAAAATAAAAGATGAACTTAAAACTACATGAAAAGGAAATTATATCACTTAAAACATTAACATGGCAAAACAGAACACAGCATATTAAAGTGGAAAACCATGCACCATGAAGCTTTGCTATTGTTGCAAATGTGATTCTGTTTCTTAACATCGGTGTATTGTTTACGCTCGCTGCCTTATGACCCAGAATGTGGGAAGAATATCATTTAACATTGAAGTGCCCTGTGAATCTACTTGTCAATCTGGTTTTATCAGAAGAGCCTTCTTATCCAAGCGACCTAGATTTGGAAAAGTTCAATTTATATGTGCATACTTTATAATGATGCATTCAGGTCCAACCTAACCTATTTCCCCCAGGAAACAAAAAACAAAGAATGATTACTATGGTTGGGTTAAGTACATGCAGGCACACAATTAGCCGTATACATTTCTGCATTCCATTGGATAATCACACTTTCTTCCTATAATTCAATCAACAAATAAATAATTGACCAACCCTCCTGAAATCTTTATGCCCATTAAAAAAAAAAAATTTACGCTCTGTATAAAAAAATGAAAGGGGGCCAAAAGAATGGGTTTTCCAATATAAGCAATGAATTGTTTTTTTAGTGTGGTAACGAAACAAGTAATTTCAATGGTGATATGCAGGGATTTACTTTTCCTAAGTAAGTTAGATTTATTTACAAGCAGGGACTGTTAGAATACTGTACTGCGTGTCTAAGAGTAGCTGGGAAGGGACCCCTCTCCAGAGAGTGCTTCTGTTTGCAGAAAGCAGACATTCTCACTGCTGGTGGGATGATGTTCAGGTAGAACGGCATAGATACCACCAGGAGTAGCCACGGTGACCCTCTGCAATGAACTTCCTTTTCTTTTCTTAGTCTCCTATCTTTCCTCCCTCCTCCTCCTAGATCATTCCCATTCCTCCCTCCAGGCCCCTCTGATCTGTGGCTCTCACGGACAGCCTCTGCCTCAGCCTCCTCACTCTGCTTACCTGTGCTGAAAGGTGGGAGAAGCCCAGAGGCCGATGAAGTGACAGGGATACCCTTTGTTTATGAAGACACTCCAGAGCATATGAAGCACCGGCAAAAACTTTTCCTTTCTGGGAAAAGGCTTATGATAGCTTTCCTCTATTCCCTGGATATTTCCGCTCTTCCTCTGGGTTGAACAGAATAAGCAGGGTGATCCTGATCTATAAGCCCAAGAGGACTGCTGTCCCATTTCTTAGGAAATCCATCTAACTTGAGAGTGTACCAGCATGACTTCAATAAAATGAGGTGTTTTTTTTTTTCAATATTGGTTTTGTTAAAAAAAAAAACATGTAAATATAAATGCCAAATATGCATTCTCATTCAAAGGAGTCACCTTGACATTCTAGGTACTTCCTCTGTAATTATGGTTCTCAGTTTCTTCATCTGTAACATGGGACTGTTAGGCTGAATAATCTCTTGGGGCACAGTATTCCAGGATTCTGTGCTGACATTGCTCAAAACAAGTGATATAGAAAAGACATAAAAGCTGGGAAGTGACAGGGACAAGATTCACACTTTGGTTATTCATTTAAAATCCTCATAAAGTTTCACAGGTTTTATTCTCATTTTACAGATAAAGAAACTGAGGCATAAAGCAGTTGAGTAGAATCCCCAACATCACAAAGCAAATGGCAGTGTCCACCCCAGGGCCTCGGTCTCTGGCTCCAAATGTAAACATGGCTCTTTTGACTACCTTAAAGTCTCATGTAGAATGACCCGACTTGATCATTCACCTGATATATGTCACTACTAAAAATTTACTCTGCTCTTAAAATAAAATCAATACATATCCTTCTGATCCAGACGCCAAGTCTAAAAGGGGGAAGTTCCAGAACAGAATGGCTTTCAGTGTCATCATCACTGAAACAACAGATTGGCTTTCAAGGTGAATATATTAGAAATTGAAATATTGGCATGCGTATGCCTTTATTTAATCTCATTCCGTGCGTAAGATTCGTCTGTTTCTTTCCTGGCCTGGCCCTCACTGTTGTTTGCCAACACAGGGTGATTTAAGGCTGAAACTGCTCAGGACAGTGAACCCTGTGAATTACAATAACCAGATGTTGCCCACAAATGAGATGAGAAGCCCAGCGCTTGCATTCTCTTTTAGTTGTAACAGACTTCTGTTTCCTTTCTGAAGGCCAAATAAATAAATACATCTTTAGAAATGGGGACAAAACACACAACTCTTGAGCAAAATATTTTAATATAGAGCAAGAGTTACTTTGCCTTTTCCAAGACATCAATATGAAGAGACTCTGAGGTTTAATGAAATCTGCATGGTGAGTGAAGTAGCTTGAAAAGAGCTTAGAAAGGAATTAACACTTAAATTATGTTGGACCTCAAAGGATCTGAGATTCAGTATTTGAGAAGAGGAAGTAGGGAAGGATTAGACTTTTATTTTAAAAATAAGAACCCATTACTTTTTAACAATATATGAACAGATGGAAATTGTTTTCTCAAATAGCACAGGAACCTATTATGTACTAACTCATTAAAGCAAATGCAAACTTTTTGGGAGTCTGAGAAAGACACATGCACAGGAAGACAAAGGTGAGGGGAGAATGCAAGCTCGAAGAGTCAGTTCCTTGTCTTGCTTTTAGAAAAGCTGCCCCTGTGAACTTCAGAGATAATGAGTTATAATTCCACTCAGGGAAAGGAGAAAGAAGGCTTAAATTGCAGCAAGAAAGAATCCAATTAAGTACAAAGTAGAACTTTTCTTTGAGAAATTGTACTTAAACAAGAGGAAGTGTTATTTATTTCCAAGACTGCAGCCCTGTTCAGCTTTCCCCGTGTCGCAGACCGCGAGGACAGAGGCATCAAGGCCAAAGCTCAGCAAGTATTTCTTTCTCATTGTCTTTTCCCAACTGGACAAGACACAACCAGAAACAAAAAACCTGCTTCCTGATTCATATGTAGTCAGGTGTTTTATCAGTTAGATGAGCCGGGTGCAGAGAGCAGGTTAGGGTTTCGTGTTCAGGACGTTAAGAGGCATGATGGTTTCTTTCGTTCATTCACTCGGCATTTCCTGGGCACATACTATTGCCGCGATATGGGGTCAGGAACTGTAATATGGTCCCCACTTGGGGAAATCACTGTGTTTAAGGAGAACATGAAGGATGAGCAGCAAGCTGAGCAGAAGAGTTGAGAAGTGTAAACTGAGGCTCACCGCGTGGCCCAGGAAGAGACGGGCCGGGGACTGGGGACAGCCTGATAGGCCTGGGGGACTCCAATCAATGTCCATGCTACAGCATGGTGAGCCTAAGACACTGTGACCAGTGTCCTGAGGGGCCCTGGGAGTCAGATGAGAGAAGGGACCCTGCCATTCAAGTTAGTGCATTCTGACTTTATTCTCACTGGGACGGCAGCCAGCGAAGGTCAGATGTGCACTCGGCTGGGCAGGGGCCCCCTGCCAGCTATGCTGCACCCCACCCCTCCCCCTCCATTGGGCCACTGCCCCAAGCAGTGGCTGGCCCCCTTTCTGCCCTTTCCCATCAATGCCTCACTGAAGTCTAATTACTGGAAATGAGAACTTGACCCCACTTGGAAGAAAGGCAATAGAGGTCTGTCTCGGTCAAGGCCGGCGTGGGTGTGGATGCTGGGCTGGGCTGACGCTTGGGGGACAGAGGTACGCTGTCAGTGCCAGGAACAAGTGAGGTCCAGAAGGCAGGGCACCGTGTTCCTAGAGAATAATAAGAGAGAAGAGGCAGTCATCAGGCCAGAGGTTAGCAGTAGGTCTAGTCCTGGGCGGAGATCCTTGCAGCAGACAAAACACAAGAGCGGGGAGGCCAGCTTCACTGGGGGACTCTATCGGCAGTTCACTGGGCCTGAACCACCCTGATCCAGGTTCTGACTCAGTCCAGGTGGAAGAGAAGTTTGGCAGCAATGTAACAGGGTGAGGCTGAGAGAAACCGACAGTCAAGGAGGTTACCTGAGCTGGGACTCAGGCTGGAGAAGCAAGACAGGATCCAGACACCAGAACCAAAGCCTAGGGTTTATGGAAGGAGGCAGATACCCCAGTTATCAGTCCCGGGGCCTGGGTCACAGGCTGACCTGGGTCAAGCGCAGCTGGATGCTGAGTCTTAGAAGACAGGGCCCCAGGGCCCCTTCCTTGTACCTGAGGCCCTGACGGGAACTTGAGTCCAGGGAGATGCCAAGCTTCCGAGGGCTGGGGCGGACAGACAGGCTGGAGGGGCTCTAAGAAACATGTAGAAGCTCCTCTCCTTTCTCCAGAGGAATCACTCCCTCCAAATATGATCCATCATCACTGGACAGAGAAACTATGTCGTGATATGTGGGCACATTCTGTTCATTGCAATCGACAACTCTACTCTTCTGCAGTGTCAGTTAAATTCACAAAGTAAATGCTTTTCTTTTCATTCCATGTCCTTCTTTTCTCTAATATTCTTAAAAATCATTTCATGATCAACAAAGGAAAGCAGTTTTTAAAAAGGTAAACTCGAGCTAAAAGGATCTGGGCAACAGCTGAGGGACACTAAGGCTGACTGGTCCCTTAACTTGTCTGGGCTTCCATGTCTTCTTCAGGTAAATGTGAGCGTGAACACCAGACTTCCCACCTCCACAGAATGAGAGCCTCAGAGAGCACAGTCTGTGTGAAAGCAGTGTATCGACGTGTTAGGAGCCCAAATCTGCAATCAAATGTACCTGTGATCAGGCCCTGGGTCTCCCACACACTAGCTGTGCAACCTTAGGACACTGAATCTTCCTAAGCCTCATTCATAATATCTGCAAAATGGGATGATCATATTTAAATTGTAATACTCTTGTGAGGAT